AGAAAATTAATTAAATAAATAAAATTAAAATTAATTATATTCAATATAAATGTGTTAAGCAGCGCCCTTATTTTTTTTCTTTTATCTATTAAATTGATGAACTTTTAATCAAAATGTTATTATTGTGTCATATAAAAATTCAAAATGTTACACTACATAGATAATATTAATGGCAAATTTAACCTACTTAATTATTATGTCACAAAAAATTATGTTTTTCAAGATCAGCCGTAATCGTTGACCGGTTGGGAAAAAAATATTAAGGAAAAAATGATAATTTTTTGACCGTTAAATGAATGAATTTGAGATCGTATGATGTGTTTCAAGATCAACAATAATCGTTGACCGATTGGGGGAAAATATTAAGGGAAAAAAAATGTAATTTCTTGACCGTTAGATGAATGAATTTGAGACCGTTAGATGAACTTATTGAAGTCGTCATGTTTTATATTATAGATATAAACACACATACATATAGTAACATTAACAAAAATAGTAACATTTAAACACAAAAAGTAGTACCATTTAAACACAAAAGAAAACAGTAACATTTAAACACAAAAAATTAATAATAACACTGAGTATTAATATTTGAAAAAATTATAGTAATAAGATGCTCAAACATGCCCAACAAAAAATAGTAACAAATTTATTGGAGAGAGAGAGAGAGAGTATGTGTGTCAATTGCTCTTTGAATTTCAATTTTAAATTTATGTAAAAAAATTTATTGGAATATCTTCATTGATAGTGAATTAAGGGATAATAATTCTAAAGTTAGAAAACTAATTTAAAGTTGTTTTCAAGGAAGGGTATTTTAGAGTTTTAAAATAATAATGGATTTAACTATTTACTAGTAAGATTAAAAACGGACTTCTCCTCAAATAAGTTTTGTTGACAAACTAAACTTATTATAAATCTCTTAAAGAGGATTCAATCTCAATTTTCATTAAAATAATTGGGTGAATACCAAGTCGGAGAGAGAGAGAATAAGAAACTAGTCTCCTTTGAATTTAGTATCGTGGTATACCAACTACCACCTACCAACCACATTGTCAAAAATTTTAGTAATTTTTTACGTTAATAAATTAAGTCTTAATATGGTTGTTGTTTCCATATACTTACCTTGACATGTTCATGGTCTTTGAATTTGAATATTGTTTGCCCTGTTGTACATATCTATTTACATGTTGTACCTAATCATATTAAAGAAATTGTCGCCATGATTATCCCGGGATATTTTTAAAAAGTAGAATTATTCTGACTTAAAATTTTGATTTAATTTTTTGACTTAATCATATACAACTCACATTGATCCCATAGTATTATTGCAAATTGTTGAGTGTTTTTATTGGAACCATGTCACAGGACACATTTCTAGATAAAATAATTATATCAGATTTTCAAATACAAAATTAAATAACTGAGTGACCATAGGGTTCAAAAACTAAGACTATGCAGATAGATTTAGGCTTTTAACCTTTTCCCTTATGGTAATTGACATCTGAGTCTCTTCTAGCCAAGGAAGAAAATGGCCACCGTCCAATATCAAAGCTTGCAACTTTTGTCAGTTACATCAAGTTTTTTTTTTAATGGTTAGAGTGTTTGGATCAATTTAAAAGTACTTCGACTAATTCTTTATCCGGTCCGGTCAAAGGTAAACCATTCACGTTAAGACTAAACTATTGATTAGATAAATCTCTACTGGCATGTCGCAAAGGGTTTGTAAACCCCCACATTCTTATCTGTATATAACAACGTAATTATTTTTGAAATGTTAATATATGTTATGATGTATGCATGAACTATATGGATTGTAAGAGTGGAAATAAAAATGTTAGATGAGGTAATAGGTTATAAATTGGAAGTTAGGAAGCATTCTACAATTCAAACACATTTTAGATAAAATTTGGGTAGAAAGGATATTAGACACTGCTTAGTATTTAGACCATAAATTTTTATCCTAATGTCCGTTTGAGCTTAAATTTTTATAGTAGACAATAGACTTTCAGAGTTACAAAAGTGTATTTCATGAAAACTTTTCACATCAACCTTTAAATCGACCAAAATTTCACTGGAAGTTTTAGCAGAAACAGGAAGTCCGTTCAAATGTGAATGTCAAATCGAACGACAGTTCGTCCCAGTATTTTTTTCCTGATGGAAAAACAAAACTACTGGGAGCAACTAATGTTTGAACACCAAAATGGCGTTCGAACGTGAGTTACGAATTCTGAGTTTCAGATTCGCGCACAGGGGACTATTTTGCCTCCAATAAATACATAAGGACACTTCCAATAGCCCTATTTCAACATTTTTAACCTTAAAGAGTCCTAGAAAAGAAGAAAGAAAGAGAAAAACACAGAATCAAGGAGGATTTTCACATTGAAGTGGATCAAAATTTCAAGTTCTTCACACAAAACTAAGGAAGAAGGTAGGGGTTTCTTCCTCTTCGCTTCCAATGAGGTTAAGGTTTATATATATGTATGTTTTGACTCTAAATCCTAATTATATATTAGGAAATCATTGAGTCTTGATATTCTTGCAAATATTAACATGTTTTAAACAAAGTTATTGTTAGATAGTCATGAAATCTCTTTTTCTTGTCTGAAAACCTTAGTTTTCAAGGAAAATGAATTTTTCTCTTGATTTTTCATTTGTTCTTGATTTCAAAACTCTAGTGCTTGGTATTGAACAATAAAATAGTATTTTTAATGATCTCTTGCATATTTTCTTAAATTGTTCTACTAGAATAATACATATAAAATTTAGAGATTTTAGATTTTACTTGGGATTGGAGAAATTTGTTTGGTATTGTATATCTTGTGGATGTTTGGATGACCATAGGTGACCGTTGACCGGGTATCGTAGAGTGGGTAGATGCGTTTCTTACTCCGTGAAAGTCTGAATTTTTTCTACCACTCATAGTGGGGTTGGTACCTTGCGAAGACCAAACTACTATTCACTCACGGGTATCGAGATTGAGGGTTAGTATACTATTCCTAGGTGGAATTCGTCACTACCAAAACGTTGGTATACGCCCTTCCTAAAGTTTGATATCCTTGCAAAGATTGAGTGTATGTGTCTGTGTGAGTCAGGATATTCTCGATGTATTTATTCATACGATGTCATACATCATACCTGAGATATATTGTAGGCTATCGCTTATTGTGCAAACGATTAGTTATGGTTTATTGTGGAAAGAAGTTTATGGTGGAATTGATTTATTGTGAAATTGGTTATTGTGGGAATGGTAACTTGTTAGAAATTGTTATTTTTGAAAATTGGTTTTACTTTTTCATTTAATTATTGCTATTGTATAAACTTGATATCCATTGAAATGTCCATATTTTTCTTCAAAAGCTATATATGATATTTGTAAAATGAGACTGGCCGTTTTATATGTTTTTGAAACCTTGTTCAAGTTTGTGAGAATTTTCCTACAGAGTTTAGTACTCACCCCCTACAAACAACATTTTTTTAGATTTTGGTTTAGATAAAGAGCTCAGAGTTGATGAGCAGGTAGCTTGGAAAGCTCAACTTGATGGGCATGTGAATCTAGAGGGGGATGTCTAGAACTATTCTTTTTGTGTCCTAGACTAAGAGATTTATTTTTAAATACTGTTCATGTTAATATTTTTCTTATTCCGGTACAAGATAATAGTTAATTTTTGAGATGTAATTGTCGTAGTTTGACATATTCTTTTAAATGCAATGGCCATGGCTTGACATATTCTTTTGGATGAAGCTGTAAATATTTGGATGATGAAATGAAATTTCCTTTAATTATGAACTTTATTAGTTGATCTCATCATGTGAATGATTTTAGATAGTAATGTCATCCAAAGAGAATTTTGGGACGTTACAAAGGTACTAAAAATCGAACTCAGAACTTTTAAATTTACAACAACAAACTCAACGTCCTCCTCCTCTTTGACATTTCCTTTCTTCTTTGCCCTCCACCTCAGTTTTTTGTCACAAACGGCTGCTAAATCAATATCCCCCTTATTTTCTTACTCCAGAGAGAGAGAGATAGAGAGGGAGGGGTTTAACTTCTACTTTTATAATTATGACCTAGTTATTGTTTACTCTATCTATACATCTTTGTGAAAAAGATACAAGAAAAGCCATAAGTAATGCAAGAAATAGATCAAAAGTTTCCATGGGGATTAGGATTTTTGATCTCATTCCTGCTGGGGACGTGCCAACCAGAGAGAGCTAAGAGCTCGGAGGCGGTGGAAGTACTCGGCAATGGCCAGAAAACACCTTGCTGCTTGACGAGTCGTTAAGAGTTGATACAGCCGGTGAAGTGTTTGGTGCCTCAAATTATCTGCCTGTAAGTTTTTTTCCCATTTGGACAAAAATAATAATAATAAGAAACCAATAGGTTACAAAGCATACATGTATGTTGACCCTAAAGAGATGAAAAAGAGGGACATGTTTATTTTTTAGGGGAAAATACACTTTTGGTCATCAAAGTATGTATTTAGTGTCTATTTGATCTCCAATATTTCAATTGTGTCTATTTGATCTCTAAAATTTCTAACTTATAGCTAAGTTGTCTAATCCCAAACGCCGTCACAAAATGGTCACGCATCAATCACGTGGTTCCTCATTTTATGTCTANATCTCATCATGTGAATGATTTTAGATAGTAATGTCATCCAAAGAGAATTTTGGGACGTTACAAAGGTACTAAAAATCGAACTCAGAACTTTTAAATTTACAACAACAAACTCAACGTCCTCCTCCTCTTTGACATTTCCTTTCTTCTTTGCCCTCCACCTCAGTTTTTTGTCACAAACGGCTGCTAAATCAATATCCCCCTTATTTTCTTACTCCAGAGAGAGAGAGATAGAGAGGGAGGGGTTTAACTTCTACTTTTATAATTATGACCTAGTTATTGTTTACTCTATCTATACATCTTTGTGAAAAAGATACAAGAAAAGCCATAAGTAATGCAAGAAATAGATCAAAAGTTTCCATGGGGATTAGGATTTTTGATCTCATTCCTGCTGGGGACGTGCCAACCAGAGAGAGCTAAGAGCTCGGAGGCGGTGGAAGTACTCGGCAATGGCCAGAAAACACCTTGCTGCTTGACGAGTCGTTAAGAGTTGATACAGCCGGTGAAGTGTTTGGTGCCTCAAATTATCTGCCTGTAAGTTTTTTTCCCATTTGGACAAAAATAATAATAATAAGAAACCAATAGGTTACAAAGCATACATGTATGTTGACCCTAAAGAGATGAAAAAGAGGGACATGTTTATTTTTTAGGGGAAAATACACTTTTGGTCATCAAAGTATGTATTTAGTGTCTATTTGATCTCCAATATTTCAATTGTGTCTATTTGATCTCTAAAATTTCTAACTTATAGCTAAGTTGTCTAATCCCAAACGCCGTCACAAAATGGTCACGCATCAATCACGTGGTTCCTCATTTTATGTCTATTTAGTTCCTAAAGTACCTAATTTGTGTCTATTTGGTCCCACGTGATTAGCACGTGACCAGAGACATGGGAACTTATTATGAAACAATGCAACAAAACACTTCCTTGTACACATTTTTCTAACCCCCAATCAGAAATGGAGAAATTGGTTAAGGATGGGGAGAGATGAATCAAAGCACCGTCAAAAAAATGTTGACGGATTTGGTCACGCGTCAACTTGGTTCCTAATTTTGTGTTTATTTGATTCCTAAAATACTTAGTTTATGTCTATTTAGTCCCACGTGATTGACGAGGGACCAAAGCCGTTATCAATTTTTTAACGGACGTTTAAGATTGGACTACTACATAGATACAAATTTGAAACCTTAGAAACCAAATAGATCCAATTAAAAGATTGATAACTAAGTAGATATTCAATGCATTTTTTGAGGCCAAAAGTGTATTTTACCCTATTTTCTAATTATTCAGTTGTTACAGTTATTAAAATAACGTTATAATAATGATATTCTTTTGACTTTGGTAGTGAGTGGTTGGATTGTCCCATGTGCTAGAGAATAAAAGCAACTTGGTTGGAAAAGAAACATGGGAAAAAATGAACCAGCGAAATTTCGGGTCAAGTTACAACTTATTGAGATTTTTAATTACATTTTAATATTGTCGATCTTGTGATTCAATGAAATTCACAAACTCGGTATAGATACTTGGGATAAATCCTAAAAGTTGAGATCAACCCCTACTTCTGGTTATATAGAAGATCAATTAGAATAAGCCATGACAAGTTTGAATCGTAATATTTTTTATGATACAAAAGACGACAGAAAAGTCCAAGAAACATGTGTGTGTTTTCTTTCTTCACCTAGATGCTTGTAGTGTGGTACCCTGATTCTAGAAATTCAAACAGAGTATCATTTGGAAACAAATAGTCAAAACTTAGGAATGGTGAAATTTCTCTTCTTCTACAGTAACATAAAACAAAGTAGTAATGACAATAATGAGGATTAAGACATCGTAACCAAAGATTGTTTACAGTAATGATGCATATAAGTGGAAGTTAATCAATTAGGATTAGATATGTTTCAGCTTAAATTTAATACTTGGTAAAAAAAAAAAGTTCTTAGTCGTAAGGATAATGAGAAAATAAAGTGCAAAATCAAACATGGCTAATTTGAATAAGTAAATAAAACTAGCAATAGGAATGAATCAGGAGAAAATTGCTTGAATATTTCCTACATCTTGTAAGCTCTTTCGGTATTCATCTCCAGAGCCCGGTCAAATGTTTCAATCATTCATTCATTCATATTTTATCTCAATACCTTTTTTCATATTTATATTGCACGTTTACAGATCGAATGTTTTACTAGACTTCTCCTTCCATATGATAAATGGATTTTCACAAAGGCTTTTTCCTTTTAAAGCTCTTGTATTTCTATTTTAAGTTTTCATGGTTTTGCCCCTACAATTATTGTTTTTTATTTCATTCATAATTTTATTGTAAATCTTCTACATGATTAATTATGATATATAGAGCTACATGCCAATCCCCACACCCCAAGTTCTCTAAGTATATATTATCTTGTATGCGGTAGTATTTAGAATAGTCTTCTTTCTACTTTCTTAGAAAATCAACATATGACTTTTTTAAGATGACCATATCATTTTCTCCACCTAACCCCACAAGGAAAATATAATTGTCTCTCAACAATACTTAACTTCAAGATGGCTATGTATACGCAAAGTTTAAAGAAGCTGTCGTTATAAAGTATAATGACCGATAAGTATTAAAATTAAAAAAACGTAATTTCTTTATAGGCGTATTTAATAATCAGAAAAGCTTGCTGTCGTAGTTGGCCGAGGTCTATCAATGATAATTACTATTATGGCCCTAAATCTTTTAGGTTAAAAAAAAAAAACTAAATCGCATTTTGTTCATGCATTTCTGACAAAATTTTACTAAATAAAGTCATAGAGTTGGTAAAATGTTAAGGTGGGTCTCGGCAATAAGTCATTGTGTTAACTGAGTCAACACATGACTTCAATAGGTCAAGGTATTTACAAATGGCCTTTATTTGGAAGGTGATGTGAAATTATGTTGATAGTCTCGACTCACAAGGCAGCTTAAAGTCAAACATGTGTGACAATGACATCATGCATACATGGGCGTAAGATCTCTATGATTAGGATATTTTTGGGTCCACCTCCGTCAAGAATTAGAAGTATGTGCAAATTGGCAAAAAAATAAAAAAAAATGGGTGAGACCTATGTAGAGGAAATTCATGCAAAGGTACTTGCCCAAAAAAGAAATTCATGCAAATGAATTTCCTAATGTAATTCTTAGCATAAACTAGAATGATAGAGAACTATGTTCCCTTAAGATGAACTACAATGGAAAATTAGGAGGATTTGATATTTAAATTATTTTATTGTTACTTTGTATTACGGGTTTGAATTACATAATTAATCTATTTACACACAAAATAAGAGTGCATATGTTTGTTTTTGGAAATTAAAAGAAAAAAAAGTCATTTGTAAAGGATTTTTCCTATTTAGTAAAAGAAAATTTGTATATGTATGATTTTTCTCAAATCTGGTAACGATGAAATTACAGTATTAGTTGGAAGTTGGAACCCGCTATCAATTCAATGATTGTAATACATTCAATCAATAAATTATATTCAAATAATATTTTCTTATATCCTTACCCTACATATATACTGACATGTGTGGAGCTATACATGCAAATATTTCCATATCTATGCAGGTATATAGATGCATGTATGTTTACGTAGGTTTGTGAATGCTGCAATGTCCACTTCTCTACTTAGGTATGAATGTATTTGCATATTTGTATGCAAACGTTATTTCTATTTTAATAATGAACATAAAAGAATATTTACGTACCTGTCTAAGAAAACCTTCGACGGTGGAGAGCTTGTTCATGGCTATGGCCATTTGACCCATGTAGTTGGCCATGTTTGGAGGACAGCTCATTGCATCAGAAGCAATGGTGAGTGAAAGCGATTGGTTAAGAGCATCAAGTCCTTGAGACAGAGCTTCTTCGGCTTCCTGGGTCGATTGTTGTAGTCCACAGATACCCATCAGTTGTTGCTCCGTCAATGGCTCAATTTGGCTGACAACAATCTGACATACACATACAAAATTCATTTATATACATTATCATAACGCGACTTTCTTACTGCTCTACGCAATTAACAACTTGTATACCTATATATATCTGGATTTATTTATTTTTTTTAATGGTCAAAAGTGTTTGCGTCGGTGTACGTGCACTTTGAATAATTGCCCTCTCAATTCAGTCGAAAACAAGTCATTCATATCGTTATTATAATATTTATGAAAAATAAATTTTTCATCACATAGTATAACTTTTTTTGCTAGAATATTCAAAGTATAGCTTTTTTTGGTCTAAATTAATAAAAAAAATTAGAATGGATACTAACATTTTAAAATTAATATTAAATTATATAATTTTTGGGGCTAAGTTACACGGTTTCTAAGTAAAATTATAAAAAATTTATAGCTGATAACCCAAAAATAAAAAAAAAAATCATAACTTTCCCTAAAATTAAAGTGAGTATTTTGGGGGTACCTACGAATGAAGTAAAATCATCTTTATGCATATTACCTTGATGAGGTCGGATGGCCGGAAGTCTCCCATCCATAAGAAGCATCGTTCCGCTGGAGTTCTCCACATGCCGGAAAAAAGATGAAACACGTCGGATTTGGCGACCATGCTTTTGAGGCTAATCATCTCACCATAATGAGCTAAGCAGTTTTCCACAAAAAGCCTCAAATCATTCTCCGGCAAATGCTCTTGTAGTGCCGCCCGGAGCTCGCACATGATACGGTGGTGTTCTCCTAGCCATCTCGCATACTCCATGTCGAAAACTGCAGCATCTACAAGCCAANATAAGAAATTAAGCACAGTCGCGAGGCATTCACTTCCACAGAGCAAGAAATGAAGTATCATAGTGGTTAGATATATAATATATACCTTTGTTGAAGATGGCTCTACATGCATGGGCCGAGAAGGAAAAATATTCAATGTTGAGGGCCTCATTCCAGAATTTTCTGCACTCATAAGTTGCCACACTCATTAAAATTTTGGTAAAAGTCCAAAGCTCAGGAGAGAGAGAGAGAGAGAGAGACAAAGAGAGAGAATAATATTATTCCACAGACATAATAATTACAAAAGAAGAACCGGACTGAGAGAGGAGAGGAGGTGAGAGAGGTATGACCATGAAAGAGACTGTGTATTGGTCATGCATTTGTAGCTCTTCAGAAAAACAAACAGAAAAAGGAAGAAAGGAAAGAGAAAAGCCGGGAAATTAGAGGCCTATCCCTGATTCTTACCCTTTTCAGTACAATATTAGCAAGAAATGCATGATCAGAAGTTTGTTAAATGTCGTGGTCTAATCTCAAAATAACAAGAAACAATTGAAATCAGAAAGAGCCTCAAAAATATTTTTCCTCAGAAAAATAAAAAAATTTCCTGCTGCAAATATGTGGTCAAAGAAAGTACAATCAGATTTATACGTTTGAACAGACTTTTCTCTTGACCCAAACAACAGTTCCCGAACAGAATCTCAACGGAAATACATAAAATTGCAAAGAAACAGAAAGTCCTTGTGCCTCTTTGCTAGAAAAAAATATCCAAGATATTTGATACAGAAAACAGGACTTGTGTGTGTGTGTGTGTGTGTGTGTGAGAGAGAGAGAGAGAGAGAGAATTTAGATACAGAATACAAGAATCTGTGTGTGTGTGTGTGTGTTTGAGAGAGAGAGAGAGAGAGAGAACCTACGTCTTTGCTCTTGGGCTGTTGAGGGGCTCTGGCCATCAAGGTAAAGGAAAAGATCTTGATCTAATTCACCCAAATCATAAGCTCCAGTGTCTTTGCTTCTGCAACCACACAGAATTACCCAGACAACCCAGAAACTAAAATTTAAAAATAGGCCAAATAATTGAACGATTATCAAAAATATTTTCGAGGATATTTGAAAGGAAATGAAGACATGGGTTTTTGTGGGTTTGGTTTGTTTTGTAAGATTAAAAATTACATGAAGTTTCCATGAATGGTTGATGATAATGATAAAGGTGATTGCATCATTCCAAATGACATCTGATTGTTTTGGTGACGATGATCTTGATCCTGCTGACTCTGGTGCAGTAGTTGTTGATGGGAGTTGGATAGTATTGTGTTTGAGTGGTGGTTTGCTTTATTGGCAGCCATGAAAGTTGCTGCTGAAGCTTCAATAGAAGATCTTCCAAAACCCATTAGTCGTACTGAAACTGCAAACAATAAAATAATTGCCTGCTAACCATGGAGAGAGAGAGGCAAAAGACGGAGCTATTTCAAGCTTTCATCTCTATCTCTGAACAACAAGACGACTTTCTGTAAACCAAAATTTCAGTGTTCAGACAAAGCGGTCTTAATTAAGATATTCAGTTCAACTCTCTCTCTCTCTCTCTCTCTCCAAAACTCGGTCTTAAACGGTTCCCACTCGGCAAATCCAGATGGCTTCCTTGTCGACCATCTCATTAGTTGTTCCAAAATGACGGAAAAAACCCTCGTCATTCGCACATTTTTTACTATTGACATTTTTATTTTTATTAACATTTTACCATTGACGTTAAGCCTCTGAATTGTATTGGAAGAGGTGCGTTCGTATCGGATCGGTCAATGTCAAAAAAAAATTTCACATATTCTTGATTTATTTATTAATGTGTATCATATTGAGTTCGTGTTGTGTATGAATCATATATAATCTATATATAAATTAATCGTGTCGTATATTTCTTTTAATTAGCTTCACTCATATCTAATTCGTTTATTAATTGCATCGTATCGGATTCACTCGTTTACGAAACGGGTGACTTAAATAAGATTCAAACCCTTTAATTTCGTATCGTATCCTACTTTAATACCCTTAATTGATATTAAAATTAGGATAAACTAATACAAAATGAAACTAATTAAAAGAAAAGACCAAAGGATGACCCCATTTTGATTTAATAAGGATTCCATTTTATTTTATATGACATCGTCACCTGATTTTTTGTTAGTATTTTTTTCACTTCTACTTTCTTAGGTAGCGTTTGGTAACTTAATATTTTTGTTTTTTTTTATTTTTTTTTTAAGTTAAAATTTTGGTTCATGTTTTATTTAGTCACGTTGAAGGGAGTCTTTAACGAGGTCCAGACTTCGACTTTCATTAGAAGCATAAAATAAAACATTTTTTTGGCACCTATATAAAAATAAAATAAAACTCTCTCTCTCTCGTCTGTGGGTCTGCGACTGTGGTGAAGCTGAGATCTCCATCTGCAAAGCTTCGACTTTGCTTCTCTCTGGCGAAGCTCTCTTTGGAGAAGCTCTTCACTTTCCTCCGACACTTACCCTACCGTCTTCTCAATCGGCGATGCTCACCCTTCCATTTTTTTCAGATCTAGGTTTTACTATTGCAAATATAAGGATTTTTCTTCATTTCCATAGAAAATGATGGTAGTGGACTAGTGTTAATGGTGGTGTATCAGTGGTGTAAGCATTGGTGTATCAGTGGTGTAAGCGTTGGTGTATCGGTGGTTTTTCTTCATCTTCACCTTCAGCTCTTATGGGTTGGTGTATCGGTGGTGGTGGACTAGTATTGGTGGTGGTTTTGGGTGGGTTGGGTGGTGGCTTTTGGGGCTACAGCAACTAAGTTATATGGAGGTGGTAGGTTTTCGGGCTACTGCAGCTGGGTTTTCAAGATTGGTGATGGTGGATTTTAGGTGGGTTGGGTGGTGGGATTTTGGTAGTGTTGGTGATAGGTTGGATGGTGAGTTTTCGATGGTTAAGTGGTTGCTATACAGGGGTGATGGTGGTGGGTTTTGGAATGGTGAAGATTGTGGCTGGGTGGCGGGGGTTTTCAGTGATTTGAGGGGGGACGTACTTGGAATTAAAAAATTAATTAAAATAACTACAATAAACTATGAAAACACTATTATAATACCAAACCTTTTTTTTTATTTTTGTTTTCATAATTTTTAAATATAATTGACTATCAAACATGTTTTGTATTTTTAATTTTTATCATAGAAAAGATAAAATTTTGTTTTGTTTTTTTTAAAAAAAAAAACATAAAAATAAAAATATTACCAAACACACCCTTAGTAAATCTAACACTCTGTTCGGTAAGATTGATAAAAAGTAAGAGGAATGAAAAGTATAAGGGATATACTTTCTATCCTCCAAAGAAGGAAAATATGAATGATGTATTTTTTTTCCTTTATGTTTAGTTTAATTGATGAAAAATAAAAATTATTAATTTTTTTTATGCTTCGTAAGATAGAAAAAATATTTATTTTTTTTATTTTTTGTTTAAAAAAAACATATAAATACATATTTTATCATTATATTTATATATGAAATTAATATATACATAATATATGTATATACCAATGATGTATAGACAAATAAGATACATTTTAATACAAATAATTAACTTTTAATCCACTTTTCTTTTGATTTTAGAAAGATTGATTTTGATGAGTTAGAAAGAAAACTCATTCATCCACTTTTTCAACCATCATATTTTCCTTACTTACAAAATATGATGTTTTATCTATCCGTCTAACTTTTCATCCTTCTATTTTTTATCATAATAAACAAAGTATTAGACTTATTGACATTTTCATACATTCTCAAACATACTAAGGACAATGTTACACTGATTAAAAAAAATTGAATACAAAATAGAGCTCGAATGACGTATCAGTTGATATAATAAAAAAAATTAATATTAAAAGAATAAAATTAGAACTAAAAATATAATATTGCAACGCTACATCATTTAATTTCTATTTTTTATCAGTCTAGTATTACTCTTCAAATTTATAAATGTAGAAGGGTCNGGTCATGCATTTGTAGCTCTTCAGAAAAACAAACAGAAAAAGGAAGAAAGGAAAGAGAAAAGCCGGGAAATTAGAGGCCTATCCCTGATTCTTACCCTTTTCAGTACAATATTAGCAAGAAATGCATGATCAGAAGTTTGTGAAATGTCGTGGTCTAATCTCAAAATAACAAGAAACAATTGAAATCAGAAAGAGCCTCAAAAATATTTTTCCTCAGAAAAATAAAAAATTTTCCTGCTGCAAATATGTGGTCAAAGAAAGTACAATCAGATTTATACGTTTGAACAGACTTTTCTCTTGACCCAAACAACAGTTCCCGAACAGAATCTCAACAGAAATACATAAAATTGCAAAGAAACAGAAAGTCCTTGTGCCTCTTTGCTAGAAAAAAATATCCAAGATATTTGATACAGAAAACAGGACTTGTGTGTGTGTGTGTGTGTGTGTGTGAGAGAGAGAGAGAGAGAGAGAATTTAGATACAGAATACAAGAATCTGTGTGTGTGTGTGTGTGTTTGAGAGAGAGAGAGAGAGAGAGAACCTACGTCTTTGCTCTTGGGCTGTTGAGGGGCTCTGGCCATCAAGGTAAAGGAAAAGATCTTGATCTAATTCACCCAAATCATAAGCTCCAGTGTCTTTGCTTCTGCAACCACACAGAATTACCCAGACAACCCAGAAACTAAAATTTAAAAATAGGCCAAATAATTGAACGATTATCAAAAATATTTTCGAGGATATTTGAAAGGAAATGAAGACATGGGTTTTTGTGGGTTTGGTTTGTTTTGTAAGATTAAAAATTACATGAAGTTTCCATGAATGGTTGATGATAATGATAAAGGTGATTGCATCATTCCAAATGACATCTGATTGTTTTGGTGACGATGATCTTGATCCTGCTGACTCTGGTGCAGTAGTTGTTGATGGTAGTTGGATAGTATTGTGTTTGAGTGGTGGTTTGCTTTATTGGCAGCCATGAAAGTTGCTGCTGAAGCTTCAATAGAAGATCTTCCAAAACCCATTAGTCGTACTGAAACTGCAAACAATAAAATAATTGCCTGCTAACCATGGAGAGAGAGAGGCAAAAGACGGAGCTATTTCAAGCTTTCATCTCTATCTCTGAACAACAAGACGACTTTCTGTAAACCAAAATTTCAGTGTTCAGACAAAGCGGTCTTAATTAAGATATTCAGTTCAACTCTCTCTCTCTCTCTCTCTCTCCAAAACTCGGTCTTAAACGGTTCCCACTCGGCAAATCCAGATGGCTTCCTTGTCGACCATCTCATTAGTTGTTCCAAAATGACGGAAAAAACCCTCGTCATTCGCACATTTTTTACTATTGACATTTTTATTTTTATTAACATTTTACCATTGACGTTAAGCCTCTGAATTGTATTGGAAGAGGTGCGTTCGTATCGGATCGGTCAATGTCAAAAAAAAATTTCACATATTCTTGATTTATTTATTAATTTGTATCATATTGAGTTCGTGTTGTGTATAAATCATATATAATCTATATATAAATTAATCGTGTCGTATATTTCTTTTAATTAGCTTCACTCATATCTAATTCGTTTATTAATTGCATCGTATCGGGTTCACTCGTTTACGAAATGGGTGACTTAAGTAAGATTCAAACCCTTTAATTTCGTATCGTGTCCTACTTTAACACCCTTAATTGATATTAAAATTAGGATAAACTAATACAAAATGAAACTAATTAAAAGAAAAGACCAAAGGATGACCCCATTTTGATTTAATAAGGATTCCATTTTATTTTATATGACATCGTCACCTGATTTTTTGTTAGTATTTTTTTCACTTCTAGTTTCTTAGGTAGCGTTTGGTAACTTAATATTTTTGTTTTTTTTAATTTTTTTTTTAAGTTAAAAACAATAATATGTTTGGTTCATGTTTTATTTAGTCACGTTGAAGGGAGTCTTTAATGAGGTCCAGACTTCGACTTTCATTAGAAGCATAAAATAAAACATTTTTTTGGCACCTATATAAAAATAAAATAAAACTCTCTCTCTCTCGTCTGTGGGTCTGCGACTGTGGTGAAGCTGAGATCTCCATCTGCAAAGCTTCGACTTTGCTTCTCTCTGGCGAAGCTCTCTTTGGAGAAGCTCTTCACTTTCCTCCGACACTTACCCTACCGTCTTCTCAATCGGCGATGCTCACCCTTCCATTTTTTTCAGATCTAGGTTTTACTATTGCAAATATAAGGATTTTTCTTCATTTCCATAGAAAATGATGGTAGTGGACTAGTGTTAATGGTGGTGTATCAGTGGTGTAAGCATTGGTGTATCAGTGGTGTAAGCGTTGGTGTATCGGTGGTTTTTCTTCATCTTCACCTTCAGCTCTTATGGGTTGGTGTATCGGCGGTGGTGGA